AAAAAAATCAAAAGCAGAATAATAATCAAAGCACACCCTAATGTACTAAAAAAAGAATCGAAAAAAAAAAAATTGAATTAAAATAACAAAACCAAATCACATTTTTGGGTTTGATTTTTTAATTTGAATCAGTTTTGCTCATCCTTACTGCTCGTTGTCCTGTCCACAGCTGCAAGTGCGATTGGAAATTCTGGTTTTAATTGGTTGAATATTTTTTTTCGTCGAAACTATGATATGATCCAAATTTTTAGCTGAACATCTAATCTTCATCTAAATTAAATTAATTATCTTTAATATTATTAATATAATTAACTAATAACTAATATCAATCAATAATAATCGTACAATTTTCCAACAAAAGTCACTATTCACCCACTTAATTATTTTAACTAACACCATTTACAATCATTAATTTAATGCTTTTACATCACATCAATTTCATTATTTACCCATATCCACTCAAAAATTCAAACTCCAATCAAAATCTCCACTCGATTGACTTGTTTTAATTTTTTAACTCACTCTATTCAATAAATCTAATTTAACGCAAACAACTTTATTTCCACTCAAAGGTTGTATTTAGTAATCATATAAGTTAAGTTTATAACTTATTTGATTAGTTCATAAGCTTCATGTATTCAAATAAATTTTGTTTGATAAGACGAATTTTTTTAAAAAGGTCGAAGTTACATTATAAGCTTTATTGGGTAGCTTTTCAAATAAACCCATTGATATTTTTATTTCAGTTAACTTATCAGCTAATTTTCTTAATACTTTTATCATATAAGCTAGCTTTTGAGATATAAATCATAAACTATCAATTATAAGCTCAAAATTTACTTAAAATTATAAATTAACTTATAAACTAAGTTTTCAAAGCCAAAATAATTTGTCTAAGTCCACACCAGTGGTAGTCCAGTTTGGCAGGTGAGTGGTGACAGGTTTTTAAGTAAGCTTAAATACGTGTTAAGAGTGTTTAGGTGTTGGCGAACTGTATAGATGTTTCCAAATTTTTGGATTTTGTATTTTTGTAACGTGGAGCAATGGTTGAAAGCGTGTAGGTATCCACGCTCGGAACTAGGAAACTATAGAACACGCTCTCACATAAACATTGGCAATAAATCAATAATCACACACACAAAAAAAAAATATTATTATAATTAATAAAAGTTCTCATAAGATTGCACAAAAAAGCCATAAGAATGTGATTATTGTTCGAGCTCGAGTTTAGCAACTAACATTGTAGGTTGCTCTCGACTTTGACTTACGAAAAGAAAAAAAGAATTTGAGATAAACTTTATAAGTGTTCAATGGCATTGTAATGATTTGTTTAAAATATTTAAATTTTTAACATATGACTCGTTTCCATCAAGATATAAGATATTGATCACAATTAAATATGATTGAGAGTCGAATCAGCCTGCACACGAGCCTTGCCCCTTGAACGGCCCGAGGTTTTACTTGGGCCGATTTCAGTTCAACTATTTATAAATTTTGAACCGCCAGTTTTGGTTCCAAATTAGAATCGAAACCGAAACCGACATTTTGACTTTTTTTTGTTTTTTTTTTATTATTAAGTTTTTAATAAATCAAGCTGGTTTGCAACTGTCAGTTTATTGAATCGGTCCGTATATGTTCTCAAGCCAATTCAGGACCCCATAACGCGGTCCGAAATCAGATTTTGGTCATATTTGATCACAACTTAAAATTGAAGCAATTCATAATAAATCAAATAATTATGATTTATGTCGACATAAATAACCATCTATTTAAAATCAACAATGTCTAATTACTCATCAAACTACACATACTACATATTTAATTTATAACAATTCAAAACAATGTTCTTAAAAATCAAGAAGCTTTATTCTATTAATAAGAACAAGCAATATCGATTTTTTGGGGAATTTTAAAGGGCTTAAACTCAACAGACATGGTCCCACATTAAGCCACTTATTTTTTGCTGATGATACACTACTTTTTGGTCAAGCAAATGTGAACCAAGCTTACCTGATACTTCAAATTCTTGACAGCTATTACCAATGCTCAGACCAACAAATAAATCTTCAGAAATCCACCATTTTTTTCAGTAAAAACACTCCAACTCACATCAAAGACCAAATCTGTTGGATTTTGCTAGGCATCACTTGTCATACTTCTGTGAGATACCTGGGTTTACCTCTGGGGATTGGGAAATCTAAAATTCAAACTTTTCAATACATTCAGGAAAGAGTGGCTAACAAAGTTACTTCTTGGAAGAATAGATATCTTTCTCTTGCAGGGAAGGAAATCTTGCTCAAATCAGTCCTATCAGCTCTTTCACTTTATGCAATGTCATGCTTCTTACTGCCAAAAACTCTATGCCATCAAATTTCTCAGACTTTTGCAAACTTCTGGTGGAAGAAAGATCAAGAACAGAACAAAGGCATCCACTGGAAGTCTTGGCAATACCTTACACTCCCAAAAGACAGAGGTGGCCTGGGTTCACAGACATACTATTATTCAATAGAGCACTCATTGCAAAGCAAATCTGGAGGCTGTTAACAAGGCTAAACTTGTTGGTTTCTAAAGTTCTCAAGGCCAAATACTTTCCAAATGACAGTTTATTCACAGTGACAAAGAAGAAAAATGGGTCATGGCTATAGAACAGCTGGATTGATGTCAGAGACTCATTAAAGGAAGGAGCAAGATATGACATAAGGGATGGAAAGACAGTTAAAATATGGGAATTTCCATGGATCCCTACCCTGCCTGGGTTCAAACTGACATCAACCCAATCAGCCAACACTGCTCATCTTACCTGGGTGAAAGACTTAGTTGATCACACTGGCAGGCATTGGAATACAAATCTTGTTCTCTCAACCTTCACAGCCACAGAAGCTCAGGTAATCCTCAATATTCAAAGCCTAGACCCCTCATCACCAGACATGTTAGTGTGGGATAGTGGGGAAAAGGGAGCATTCTCAGTTTCCTCCACATACTCAAAACTGGTTGCACAAAAATTGAAAATAATGGACATGGCAGAAAGCAGTAATGGGCAGTTAATCCAAAAAGCTACTAGGAGGAGAAGCTGGGGTCTCAAAATCAAAGGCAAATTGAAACATCTTTTATGGAGGTGCCTTACAAACCTTTACCAGTTGGCTGCAACCTTTCCAAGAAAGGAATGAACATAGATTGTATTTGCAAAAGCTGTGGAGAAAAACCAGAGACAATGGAACATTTGTTCTTTGAGTGTCACAGAGCAAAGAGAACACGGAGACTGGCACAGGTAAATTGGGATGGGCTTGATAATCAGACTAATAACTTTCAAGGATGGTGGTCAAAGGTGTGCAGTCTGAACAAAACAGCAACCTCTGAAGCAAGAATACAGCTTTCCACATACATACTTTGGTGGTTGTGGAAAGCTAGAAACTTATGGGTTTTCCAAGACACATGGATGGATGAAAGAGCTATAGCAGATATTGCAGGGAAAGACTGGAGGGAATTTGCAGCAGTGGGATGAACAACTTAACCCTCTTGGCTTCAGCTCAATTTGTATTTAACTAGTATTTTGTAGCTTGTTTGCAGTTTTTTAGCCTTTTGTTGTACATATTTCTCAGGGCTGGGGTTCATCTAGGCTTTAGTGCAGTGGTTGAACTCTTTTTGTTGTTATGAAGTTTGAAGTATGCTAATGGTTTCAATTGTTAGAACATTGCCATTAGCTCCTTTTCAAACTTTTTTGATCTAGTTATATTTTGGTTTAGTTGACCTTAGAATTGTGCACTTGTAGTGCGGGCATTTTTAGACTAGTTAATCTACGATTTGTACCAAATTTTTTTAGATATGAAATCTATCGTTTAAGAAAAAAAAAAAATAATAATAAGTATGTGTTATTTTTCAGTTCTTTAAAAAGAGCGTGCAGCACACACGCACGCTAGCGGTTACAGAAGAGGTACCCCTGCCAAACTATAAAAAGCACCAATTGTTCACCACTTCCTCAATTTCCAATTTCAAATGCACCCCCATACTTTTGCCCTTTTCCACTTCAGTCCTCATAAATTATAAAACCTCCCATTTCTCCAAAACCCACTCCACAGAAAAGAAGAAAACGCAGAGCTTCTCTTCTCCGGCATCCATGGCCGCCGCACTCACGAAGACCAGCCGCCTCAAGGCCCAGAGCTTTCATACCTCAAACTACTTCCTCTCCAAAAGGGGCCTCAAATTCTCCACACCCGACCCGGTTACCAGCACACGCGACCACCAACACAAACGGGTAACCGTTTTCACGCGCTCCATTTTTAGGAAGGCGAAAGAGACGGACTTTTCTACTCCGATCTCAATTTCTTCTAAATTCTCGTCTAGGGCTTCGTCTTCTTCCGAAAAATCCGGGCTTGTGGGCTGGTACTTGGAGATGCTCCGGACCCGACCCGTTTCCACCAAATGCATCACATCGGCCCTCATTTACGCCGCCGCCGATATTTCCTCACAGGTTCTGTGAAACAATTGTTGTAAAAAAAAAAACTCATTTTCTGATTTGTATTTTATATGGATTGTTGCTTTATTATAGACGATTGTGAGTGAGAATTTGGAGGAGGGCTATGATTTGAAAAGGACTTTGCGTATGGCTGGATATGGGTTGGTGATATTGGGTCCTTCAGTGCATTATTGGTACAATTTCATGTCTAGAGTGTTTCCAAAGACTGATCTTTCATCGACTTTAAAGAAAATGGCTTTGGGGCAGACGACTTATGGTCCGGCCATGACTGCCGTATTCCTATCTACGAATGCTGCTTTACAAGGTATGTTTAGCAGAATTGCTAGTTGTACAGAGTTTTTGTTAGTTCAAGAGTTTGAGTTTTGTGACCCTTTGAATGTGATTCAATTTCTGTAATGAATATTCTCACAAGTTTCCTTCTTGGAGAGATTACTTTAAAAAGTGTATCTTGCTCGAGTTTTGGTTTTGAATTCATGTGGTCTATGGTTTTTTGGAAGGGATGTTGCTGATTACAGGGTGTTATCTAACAGAAGTTTTATATTTTGTTGAAATGGAGAAACCTCTACTTCTGATGGTTCTTGGCTGGAGTTTGTTTGTTTGTTGTTCTTGGCTGGAATATCTTTTGTCTAGCCAAGAAATGGAGAAAAGGATTATGATACTTGTGTCCTTCAAAGAGATTATCTTTTTGCTATATTTCCTTCATTGTTTTCTCCATATCAATATTAAACAGTCAGATTATCCGAAACTGTTCAAAACTAATGCGGTGTTATATATTTTTGCTACGGCAGGTGAAAGTGGTTCGCAGATTGTTGCCAGGTTGAAACGTGATTTGCTCCCGACAATCATAAATGGTGTAATGTACTGGCCGTTTTGCGATTTTGTGACGTTCAAATTTATCCCGGTTAATTTACAGGTCGGTTCCCATTTTTGTATTATTTTTTTCACCTTTTCTTAACTTTCCACCGCTTTTAATATATTTAGGTCCTTTTGACAATCAAGATTCCGATAAATCTTTCATTGAAGATTGGCTTTACGGTTTTCGTTTTGTTCTCAATTTGGCAGCCACTGGTAACCAACTCATTTTCGTACCTATGGACCATTTACATGACTTACGTAGCAAGCTTAGCTAAAGTCGGCACAAGTTGAGATGGTTTATTCGCCGAGGAATGCATGCATCTCTAAGGCACACTAATTCTATGTACCTTGCAAATATCGCCATTTTCTGATTATGGCTTCAGAAAGTAGCAGCCTTGGGCTCGAGTTCGTCAGTTATAGAGCTTTCATAAGGACGAGTCAAGTTCTCTGATAGACTTTGAGATGAGGATTATGAAGTTGCTGAATTTGCATTTCGTGGGGAATTTGAGATGAAAGATTGTGAAGCTGCTGTTTTTTTTACTCATGTAGTGCAACTAGCTCTGGTTTTTTTCCTCTTTGCCAGCAATCCATAATGTGAATTCTTTTAGTTTCTGTGAGTCGACCCGTCTAACGATTAGGCCACCTCGTACCAGCATTAGCACCAAAGTGTTTATGATTTAGCACTAGAGCATAATAATTAACATGAAGTGTAATGAAAAGGGATGAACTCCCCTGATATTTTCACATCAACTTATTATAATTAAATAATAAATCGAACCATATAGGTAGAGACGGACCGAAATGCTCGTTCTCATACGTTATATAGTGTACATGGTACAGCCAGAAAAATCTATCGAACTCTATCAGACAACAAAAGAAGCTAAAACCTTATCAAATGTGTAAAAATTGCTTGCTAAAAGATTTTAAAAGAAAAATCCCCACCCTTGGTGTTAATTCAAATCCTACAAATTCCTGCAAATTTCACAAACCACAGCTTATTTATTTTTTCTCCTCGAATTCTTGCATGCCTAGCACCATGCGTAACGGCAGATTCTCTCAAGCTGCAAAGGCCAATCTTCCCCAAGAACCCTAAGATTCGATTCCATCGTGACCCAAAAATCCAGTGTGCTCAAGCTAGCATATGTCAATTTATTCATGTTTCATACTTATATTATGATATATGTTATTACGGCGAATAATCGCGCAGTATGTTATCCACACTGAGCATAGTTGTTTTGCTCACCCTTATCATTTTTCAAGTTGATTGAGTTGGCGATGGGTACGGATGGCGAAGGTGGTCCCTTACATATATGCTATTTATTTATGCTTCCTCTAGAACTCTTAAGATTTATGCTTCAGTTGTCTTTAGAACTTGTTTGGAAATTTGTTTTATAAAACTAAATATAATTTATATATTTAAAAAATTACTTAATGTTAACACTTTCTAGAATAAATCTATCTCTATATTTTATCCAAACATACCTGTAAACAAAAAATTACAATAAAATTATTAAATAAATTCAAACAATTTCTTTTTACAACATCATTTGAGAAAATATATTTTTTCAAAACCATATATTAACAACCTTGAATACGATTTAAGAAATTATATAAATAATAACTAATACTTAGTATCACGTGTTGATAATTGTTGGAACACGTATGATTAAAAAACCAATATCATAAATTAAATGCAGGAGGTATACCGTATAAGAACAAAATGAAGTATCCCATATTATGATTTATGACATAAAGTGTAGAGACTATTTACAAGATATAAAGTCGATGCCAGCTAACATCAACACACTTTGGGTAATAAATTTATGCCCAAATTGAACAGGAAAATGTTAAACCGAAGTAGCAAATTCTACAAACCAAAAACATCTGCAACCTAAATAAGTAAGACACACACCAAAGTCAGCCGCCTCAAAAGCAGGGGCGGAACGTGGAGTCTAGCCACAAACACAATATGAGAGAGAAGGGGCATTTTAGATTTGGGTTTTTGAGACGAGAGAGCAAATTTTTATTTTGTATTTTTTCGACAAGGAGCTACAACCACTTGTTGATGCTTTTAAATATATAACTAATAGTTTGTAATTTATGACCACTTGTTGATGCTTGTAAATATGATTAATAGTAAAATATTTATATATTACAAGAGTGTCAATTAAAAATTTATATTTATAAATTAATAAAAAGAATAATAACTAAAGAATATACTACATAATTAATACATATATATTCAAATATTTTTGTTAGTAACATTATTATTATTTTACTATCTAAGTTAGAAATTAAAATTTGACTAAATTTTAAATAAAATAAAAATTATTAAGCTGATTTTAATATGAGCAAAATGTAAGCTTTTTTTCATTTTTTTTCATTTTTTTTCATTTTATTTTATAGAAACTTATCAATGGCCAATTACTATTATGATTCTTGTTTTTTTGCAGGTTTTGTTGATCCATTTTTGTTCTGGACGGTAAGTTATGATTGAAATTAGTGTAGCTCATGAGAGAAATTTTGGTGATTTTCAAATGAATTTGTTACGAGTCTATTTATTCTTTTTTTTTTATAACTATTGTGATGCCTTAGAAAGATTGTGCTATCCTATTTTGCAGTTTTGTTATTGTTATGTGACTTCAGTATATCCTCTTTATAGAGTTTTCTACGGACAGAAATGAAAAAATCACATCACGATCGGGACCAATCAGTTTATCGTCTTTAGAGAGTATTAAAAACAATCAGTGTATCCTTTTAGAGAGTTTTCTACAGAAAGGAGACCACCAACACAAACGGGTCACCCGTTTCACGCGCTCCATTTTTAGGAAAGCGAAAGAGACGGACTTTTCTACTCCGATCTCAGTTTCTTCTAAATTTTCGTCTAGGACTTCGCCTTCTTCCGAAAAATCCGGGCTTGTGGGCTGGTACCTGGGGCTGGGGATGCTCCGGACCCGACCCGTTCCACCAAATGCATCACGTCAGCCCTCACTTACGCCGCCGCCGATATTTCCTCACAGGTACTGTGAAACAATTGCTGTTAAAAAAAAAACCGTTTTCTGATTTGTATTTTGTATGGATTTTTGCTTTGTTAAAGACGATGGTGAGTGAGAAATTGGAGGAGGGCTATGATTTGAAAAGGACTTTGCGTATGGCTGGATATGTGTTGGTGATATTGGGTCCTTCACTGCATTATTGGTACAATTTCATGTCTAGAGTGTGTGCAAAGAATGATCTTTTGTCGACTTTAAAGAAAATGGCTTTAGGTCATGACTGCCGTATTCCTATCTATGAATGCTGCTTTACAAGGTAGAATCCATGGTTTTCTGTTTCCTGCATGTTTAGCAGAATTGCTGTAGTTGTATAGAGTTTTTGTTAGTTCAAGAGTTTGAGTTTTGTGACTCTTTCAACTGATTCATTTTGTGTAATGAATATTCTCACAAGTTTCCTTCTTGCTGAGATTACTTTAAAAAGTGTAACTTGCTCAAGTTTTGGTTTTGAATTGTGTTCTATGGGTTTTTGAAAGGGATGTTGCAAGGTATTATCTAACAGAAGTTTTATACTACTTTTTTTTAAATGGAGAAAGAGTTTTACTTGTATGGTTCTTTGCTGGAGTTTTGTTTATTGTTATCATATATTTGTAGGTGAAGTACTTAGAGCTGTCATAGTGCTTTTTAACTGTGCGAAATGCGTTTCATGCCATAATCTAGTTTTGTCTGGAATATGTTGCTAATTTTATCATACAGTTGAATTTTGGTGATTATGATACTTGTTTCCTTCAAAGAGATGATCTTTTTGCTATATTTGCTTCATTGTTTTCTCCATATTTTTGCTACGGCAGGTGAAAGTGGTTCAGAGATTGTTGCCAGGTTGAAACGTGATTAGCTCCCGACAAATCATAAATGGTGTAATGTACAGGCCGTTTTGCGATTTTGTGACGTTCAAATTCGTCCCGGTTCATTTGCAGGTCAGGCCCCCATTTTTCTATTAATTTTTTTTTACCTTTTCTTAACTTCCCTCTTTTAATATATTTATACTCTCTTTTTGACAATCAAGATTTCGATAAATCTTTCGTTGAAGATTGGCTTATGGTTTTCGTTTTGTTCTCAATTTGGCAGCCACTGGTAACCAACTCATTTTCGTACCTATGGACCATTTACATGACTTACGTAGTAAGCTTAGCTAAAGTCAACAAGTTGAGATGGTTTATTCGCCGAGCAAATATCGCCATTTTCTGATTATGGCTTCAGATAGTAGCAGCAGCCCTGGGCTCGAATTCGCCAGTTATAGAGTTTTCATAAGGACGATTCTAATTTTCCGAGGGAATTTGAGATGAAGATTATGAAGTTGATGAATTTGCATTTTATGAGGAATTTTGAGATGAAAGATTGTGAAGCAGCTATTTTTCTACTCATGAAATGTAACTAGCTCTGGTGTTTTTCCTCTGTGCCAGCAATCCACAATGTGAATTCTTTAGTTTCTGTAGTGATTGACGTGTCGAAGCCTACCCAACTTGCTTGGGACTAAAAGGCTATGTTGTTGTTGTTGTAGTGATTGACGTGTCGACCCGTCTAACGATTAGGCCACCTCATATCTATATCTATATAATTGTAGGCTATCCAATTAATGAAGATAGTCTACTTTTCCCGCCCAAACACATTTTGGCTAAAAAAGGTAAGTCATTTTCAATTAATACCACAATAACACTTTTTATTTTGCTTATTACAAAAAAGGTAAGTCATTTTCACTTAATGCTACATTAACATTTTTTATTTTGATTTATTTTTGTAATATAAAAAACTAACATGTGCTTAAGAGACACATGCTAATCATATTGGTGAAATTGCATTTTTTTTATGATTTTTTAATTTTTTATCATTTTGTAACTTCTTTGACTAAACAACTAAATTTGAATACAATAAAAATAAATGTATCAACAACAAACATTAAGATACAAAATTCAATAAATACAAAAGTCACATTTTTTTATAGATAATTTCCTGTTGTACTCCATCCAATTATTCCTGCAACATAACAAAGATTAGTGATATGATTGAATTTCCTTTTACAATATATCATAAGATATATGATGTATTAAAAGCCTGAAATCATAAGAAATAAAAAGCCTATAATCCACTAATTATCACCTAATAAAATTGTATANGAAGTTATATTATGTTTTTTATGTAAAAATCATAATATTGTAACTACATATATCCTTTATTTTGGTTGTACATTTATTTAATATTTGAATTTCAAATTATTCATGCTTATTTTTAACCATTTTGATTAGTATAATAGAATTAATTTTTAAGAAAATTATTAGAAGTAAAGTAATATAAATTTTGAATTTCTCTTAGAAAGTAAATTTATAAAAATAAATATAACCATATAAATTATTTTGTCTTTTCATTTACAAGGATTAAATTATTAATTTATATATATATAAATTATTTATTTATATAAAAAATACTACCTATTTATTCCAGCTATTTTAATAAATTAAATTAATTTATGTTATTTTTTTATCAATTTATTCTAAATTATTTTTTTTTTATTTTTTAACATACATAATTTTTTATTCATTAGTATATTGAATGAGATACAATGGTTCTTAACTTTTCTTGCATATTTTTGCAAAAAAATACATTCTTATTAGTATGTAACAGGTGATTGTGATATTTAATAGTGATGAAATATTTTTATAATAATATAATAACCATATAAGTATTTCATTATAAGTGGAAAAATATTAGATAATATAATCTAAATATACATGTATCATATTATATAAATATATTATGTATATAATTTGCAGGATAATTCTTTTAGAAAAATCAATTGATGTGATATATAAGATTTATGTTTTCCATATAAAATTATATTTTTTACTTTGGTTATACTTTTATGTTAATTATAAATCTAATATCTATTATGGTAATACTTTTATATAAGATTTATGTCCTTTTTTTTATCGAAGTATAAAAATATAATTAAGAGTCTTTAATGTAATAATTCAATTATAAATATGATGCATACTATCAAATAATTTTTCTTTTTAAATTAAGATATTTATATATAATATTTATTTATGTTCGATAACCTGTGCATGTGCACAGGATTAATACTAGTGTGTTTATATCTTAAGCACTAGAGCATAATTTACATGCAGTGTAATGAAAAGGGCTGAACTCCCTTGATATTTTCACATCAACTTATTATAATTCTATCAATTTTCATGGAAATCAAACCATATAGGTAGAGATCGACCGAAATTCTCGTTCTCATTACATTATACAGTGTACACGGTACAACCAGAAAAATCTATCGAACTCTATCAGACAACAAAAGAAGCTAAAAAAACCTTATCAAATGTGTAAAAATTGCTTGCTAAAAAATTTTAAAGAAAAATTCCTTCCCCACCCTTGGTGTTAACATCTACCTATGCAAGGCCGATACCTTCAATTCCTGCAAATTCGTGCCTGCCTACAAACCACACTTTATTCATTTTTTCTCCTCGAATTCTTGTATGACTAGCACGATGAGTAATGCCAAATTCTCTCGAGCTGCAAAGGCCAATCTTCCCCAAGAACCCTAGGATTCGATTCCATCGCAACCCGAAAATCCAGCATGCTCACGGTCTTCTGCTGGCTCGGCCTTCCCACCATCTGATTATTAAAATTCTTACTATGACTATATTGCCCCTGCGAACAAGCTATTTCTGCACACGGCTTGATCATCCTCTTCAAGAATGCATCCAATCCGTTATTCAACAAATCCGCACACTCTAAAGAAACCCCAAATCCCTCCAAAGCCAACTTCTTCAGCAATCGGCTCCTCAAAGACTTCGTATCAGGCAAAAACCCGATATTCTCACAGTTTTCACGCAAATCATCATCAAACGTACACCCGCCGCAAGAAATATCCTTACGATGGGGCCCACCACCCGAATTAACCGAGACGCCAATAGGGGCGGTGACTGGGCCCCAACTCCGAAAATCGAGGCTTTCATTCAACTGCTCGACTTCCTCGCCTTCTTCAATAACCATCGGCCGGCTGCCGATCGACTGCAGCTCGTTTGTGCTCTGCTGTTGCTGTTCTTGAGTCCTAGTGAAGGTCTCCTCACACGTCAAGCTTGGGCTTTTTCCTAACGGGCCTAACGGGCTTGGCCTGTCCCGGAGCTTTCGGTCTCGGCTGACTGGAGACCTGCACTTGCGAGGGGACTGAAGAGACTGGAGACAATTCCTCTGGTAGCCATTTACGATTTTGACTCCGAGATTCTCGGGCTTTTTTCGCGGTTTTTGAGGAGGGGGGACTTTGGACTGACACGCGTTCTGGAGAATGGATCGGATGAGGTTGTTGTGGAGAGGGAGATTCTCTCGGCCGATCACACGAATGCAGTTTCTGTCGAATTCGGGTTTGCTGAGCTTCATGGCGAAAAATCGATTGAGCTGGTCAAAGTACTTCTCTGCTCTCTGAGGCCCGATTTTTCGGATGATAAGCTCTTTCAGTTCGATCGTGTCTATACGAGTAAAATGATGGTTGGACACCATTTTTTTTTTTTTTTCTTGTTTTGGGTTTTTAACTGCAGAACATCCAAAAGGAAGTTATCAGATCCAGAATCAGTGCTGTTATATAACAGTCTGTAAACTCAATTATTTGAATAAATCTGAACTACATACAATCTGTCACACTAGCTAAAGTTTCTAAAAACAAACAATTCACACAGATCAGCTCAATCAAGGTTTTCCCCCTTCAAGAGATTATATACACGATCAAAAATTCGCAACTTTAGCAAAGCAAAAACCCCAATTCTCCAAAACTAAACAGTAACTTAGCAACAACCCACTAAATTTCGTAAATATTAACGTCAGATTCGAAAACGCAAAAACACCCCAATTTGTCTTCCATCAACGCAATTCAGACCCAACTCAACACAACATAGAAACGAAAATCGAAACCCAGAAATCAACGGGCATTGAACTAGAGACGAAAATTGAAGTGATCCAGAGCAAAAATGAACAATCTTGAATCGCAATCAGAAACCAGTTCACATTAAGCAAAGAGGAGACGAAAACCCCTCAAGAAATTGAATTGAATTGAATTGAATTGAATTGAAATTCGATGGACACAAAAGAGTACGAAATTGACCTAGTTTCTCCGAGTGGAGATCGAGCGTGGAGCTCAATTCCTCCCAATTTCCTTCGCTTTTGGGTAATTATCCAATTTGCCTGTCCGATCGACAGCTGCTTCTGTTTTTCGGCGGTCAATGGTGTGCGCTAAAAATCTATATCGAGGAACAAAACAAAAGCCAAACACGGAATAATTTATGTAGTCTTACACGGTCGAAAGTATCGTACAAAACGCACTTGGGATGTAATGTTTTGTTAAGGCTTGTTTGGTTATACTTTTTTGTGTACTTGGTGCCAAATTTGGAAACTTTTAATTTCATTTTTTTATCTAACATATGATAGAACCATAAAAATCAAAATATTTCGAATAAGCNTTAAAAAAAAAAAAAAAAAAAACATGTGTAGGTTTGCTTCTGTAACGAATTATTTTATAATCATTGCATTCAAAAATTTTGATTGAACACGAGTTAATAAGTATTAGAGGTGTAGATGAGTTAAGTCGAGCTTGAATTTTTGATACATGAGATCAGATTTAATCCTTTTATTCAGTAAAATAAAATTGTTAACTAAATGGCCTAATAAATGAGTTTGAGATCGACTCGTATATTAATTAAGGAATTGACTTAAGCATTAACTAGCAGAACTCGAGTTTTAATTAGCCGTACTGCATAAAATCACATGAAAGTCCTCATTTTTTAGTTTAACGACCCACACCGAGCTAATGGCTCGTTTCGGTTAACAACTCTGGTAAGTTGTAATCCCCATTTATAAGGTGATGTGCAAAATTGTGATGATTTTAGCCAAGGTTTGGGTCAATTGTTGCATAATTGGGGTACATAAATTTGATACATGAAGTGTTTTGTGTGTTTCATAGATGTTGGTGTTACAGTTTACACTTTCATTGAAGGACCATGCATAGGTTTTTGTCTAATAGTCTTTTAGGCATTAAGATCCTTTTGTCTTCCTCCAACTAGACCATGCCCAACCCTAGAAAAAATACATCACAAAAAATGCCAAATGTGAATAGGAATTCCTTTTTAGTTTCTTATTGATTTCGATTTGTTTATTCTTCATTTGTCGACTATTATTCAGAGTGAAATTATTCG